GTTTTGTATGACAATAGAGACACAGGCCACCTGTTGTGTGCTGTGTCTGTCTCTCTCTGTTTACCTGTGTCTGTGTGTCTCTCTCTCTCCCTCTCTCTCTCCCTCTCCGTGTCAATACTATATGCCAATTTTTCTTGTTTCTGCCCCAGCGTAGCATGTTGTAACAACGTGGAATTAACAGAATAGGCTATTGTATTGTTTAACTCACACCTGTTGCTCTCGATGTAATTTAGCTGATAAAAGGAGACTAATAAAAGCTAATAAAAGCCTCACGCGTGGCGTTTCACTTTCAAGGGGAGCGATATGGCGTGTATGTAATTACATTACAAATACTGACTTGAGCCCCACCACTGGTTAGCCCTACCATAGATTACCTAACAAAAATACTCTGGCGCCACCACTGGCTTTAAGACTGATTTCTTCATGCTTGTAACTCAGGAAATGCACAGAGACATTGCACTTGTGCCATTCAGAATAGCATTGCTATTTAGTAATGATTGCTGTGCTCACAATCCTAGATGTGATTTTATGAACGCCTATTCATATTTGATAGGGTAATGGAGCATCCCCTTTTTGCCACTTAGGAGGAAGGTGATGCCAGCTGTGCTATAATATACTTTTTGCATTCATTCATCAGCTTTTCTTCATCCACAGTCGCACACACACATACACAAAGATTCAGAGTGATAGTCTTATCTTCTGTGGAGGTGGCAGGCTTTGACCTTTGACACTTGAGTGCACAGATAAGTCATCACCAGTGCCTCTGAGTTGCTGAGGTGGGTCCGTGCAGTCGAAGAGCGATGTGATTATTCCTTTGACCTCTTTTCAAGTGCCTGCAGAAAGCCGTGATTTTCAAACGTACCTCGATCTGCCTCCGTGACAAAATGCCATGCTTCATTTCATACGGGCTTCTCATGATCCCAATAGCCAATGGTGGTTGAAACACCAACATATCTCAATGCAGCTCCACCAGTAACACAGCTCAAATGTGATCCCTGAAATTGAGGTGAAACAGTAGGACAGATACTTTGTGGAGGTAATTTACTAAACTCTATATCATTATATAGCTGATCAATTAATCTGCCATTGTAATATAAAAAGCATCAGCTTGAGAGGAGACTGAGGGTGTCCTTGATTGTCAATTAAGACTCCCCCAGTCATATTCTTGTCCCATGACGTGTAGATTGAGTGATATCACTGAGGGCAGTGTTGCCTTACTGCACAGTCGGTTTGAATTCAACTATGGTGTCAGATTTTTGATTATGTGTGCTTTCTCAACCAAAAACAAGAAATCATACATAATGAGAGTCTTATGAATTGTAGATAACAAACAAATACATCACTAACACCATTATTCAGGATATGGTAGAGTGTTCATTTTGGCTCGGACCAGTGATGGTTTTGGTTTTAATAACTGTTTTTCTGCTTATTCGCTGATTACAATATTCATAATGGCAAATATGAAACTAATGGAAGACTGAGAGCACATGAGCCACCCTTTAATCAGGCATACAGAGCTCATCATTACTTACAGTTTTAGATTTTTAGATTCTTTACCATGCTTTATTCATTGTTGCGGGGATATAAGATCAGAACATTTATTTTCAGAGTGAACATCCCATTAGTTGGTGAAAAGGTGACATTAAACGCCAATAAGGCCGGCCTTGATGCACACTACCCTTTTTAACAACAAAAAAGCAGATAAAGCAAACTAATTGCTTTCATCTGTCATTGACTTGCGGCTTTGGTGTTTCGATCTCAAGCGGACAGCTCTGCAAAGGAAAGTTCACACCTGGCATATAAATGCATCTTCAAAAGTGTCTTGATTGGTTCTATATGTTACAGGCAAACTGAATCGCTCAGAATATGTGTTAATTGCAATCTGGGTTTTTGGAAATGTTCAGATATTGTGGATTAAGCCAGCTCCTAAGATCTGAGAACCAACAAGAGATAATAGAACTGGGTTGTTGTGGGTTATCAGGATGCTAAGGAAGCATTAGCATTTAGGGTAAAAAAGATACAGTACCTCCGCAAGTGGTTTTAGTGATTAGATCATAATGTTTCTTGCTACTATTTTACAATTGTATCAGGGCTGGCCACTTTGTCGAATAAGGATTTTTAAAACATGTGAAAGCAGGGTCTTGGCCAAATGGAATTTTTAAGAGGCTGAGGCAGTTTAGTCAGTTGCCTGGTGTTATGTTTAGGTTAATTAATGTGTTCTGGGAATACAAAGAAGACCGTTAACCTGTCCTTTAATAACCATTAAATGAGCTTTGTATTTTCTTTCGCTAAATAATGCATTTTACACTGCACTTGTGTCAAAGTTAATGCTCATTAACGCATTAGTTAACAGTCTGGGGAATATCTTTTTCACTGGGTAATGCCCTTTAACTGAGTTTGTTTCCCCCGGTTGTGTTCATTTTCTTGTGTGAAAAATGTATTTTTCATTATCAACCCTAACCCCAAAATACCGCCCTGAGGATAATGTATATTGAAGTGGCAGAATGTAGAAGTTGTTAGAAATATACACTTCAAGCCAGGGTACAATAGTCCTGCTGAAATGTCCATGAAGGAACTATTTATACCAAAACCATGGCGAACCATTCTAGTTCCCCTTGTATTCATTGTTTTTTGGGTGACTGGATTGTAATAGTACTTGAGTACTTGAAAGTATGGAAAATACCATGCATGATTACAAAAAGAGTCTTAGTACAATAAGTGAAATAGAAAACACAATTGTATATAAAATATTTCTAGAACCACCAAGGGGGTCCTCATATAAACATGTCAAATTTGTGTATTTTATTTTATAGTTTTTCATAATATATAATTTTGTTCATTGGTTTATTAAACACTATTTCAATTGAAAAACTCCTTGGAAAAATCGTTATGTATATGTTTTTTTTTTCATGCACAAAGATGAAAAATCCTTAGTTTGTTGTAATTCATGCATGAAGGAGTTAATAAATCACACACTGATGGAACATCACTATATTGTAATTATGTACGTATATAGGCTTTTTCTATCAAAAAATGTCGGGGTCGGTCAGGGGGTACTCGGCTGAGAAAATGTTTCAAAGGGGGTACATTACTGAAAACTGTTTGAGAACCACTGATCTAAGCCATAGTGCAAACTCTTGAGGCCTTTGATCAGCCATCCAGAGTGATAGCCTCTTACTCTTACTAAGTGCAAACACTTAACATACATATTGATAGCAGGAATAAATGTAAAGACGTTGAATCATTTAAGTGCAAAGGGGTCTATTTTCCCTCAGATCGGAAGGCCATATATTACTAATTAATATGCCTGCCAACTATTTGTCAACAACATTTACTTTTTTTACATTTCACCACCAACTGTAGTGTCCACCTGTAGGGGGGAAGGTATTATCGTGACTCACTAATCCCTGCTGTGTGGAGCTTGCTGTTTTAACGTGGGAAGTGATCAAAGCATGAATGCCAAATAAAAACTTGGAGACATTAACATAATAAATCCAACACAAACAGCTCTCTTTGACAAACTCAAAGAAAACAAGATTACATTTAAACAACTTTTTAAATACACTAACACCCTTGTTCTCTTTACTTCCTAGCACTTACCCTAACCCTAAATACCAAACAAGTTGCAACCACCACACATCCACTTTCACCCCACTGTTGGTTTTGAGTCTCCTTTCCCTTAATTAATATTATCAATTCACAACCACTGCAGTGAAAAGCCTACGACAGATCCCTGATGCCAGATATCAACTCTGTACGTATTCAGCATTCAAATAATAATCCATCCACAATTAACTTCCTTCATGCAATGATCCCTTTTATTCTCATACGCTGATATTTTTAACTGTACACTGACAGCCAGTGATATTTGCACTCTTAACACTCTGAACCCTTCCTTAGTTGAAACACCAAACACGTTTTAAAATACTTTAATCAAAAGGTCTGTTGCCTGCATGCAGATTCATCCAGTCGTGATTATTTAAAAAACAATGTTTTAAATAAGCACTGCAGTCTATGAGCACTGCTGAATCTAATTCCAAAGCTTCACAAAAAAGGCCTGAGATGATGTATTTCACATACAAAATGAATTCCAATTGAGCAAAACAAATGTGTATGAAAACATTTTATAGTCAACATCCACAAAAGCAAACCTATAGCAAAGTGCATGCACAGTAGAGTATCGTTGTGCAGCAGAAGTAGCTACATCCCATGGCCATTTAACATATTCTGCTAGTAGTGTGTCTTTGACATACTTTTGCAAGTTGCTGTCTGGTAAATGTTCAAATCAAACTACGTCTATATTCACTTGTAGATCATTTCACAGATTCCAAAGGGATTTTCTCCAAAACACAGTGACAACAAGCACAGACACTTCAGCATTTAGGAGCCCAGGGAGGTTCTAAACTAAAAGTCTGCAAGGTGCCCAAGGCATATTATGTTCCCGGGAGAGACAATCCATTACTCTTGTGAAGAACAGGCCTTAACGAAACATCCTGTAGTCCAGGGGAATGGTTTTCTGAAGGGACATATCATGTTGGCCCTTTATGATTTTTTGATGGCATCAGCAATTCGACAAAAAAGAGAAAAACAGTACAAAGCAAAAATGACTCACCAAGAGGCTGTCCAGCGATGACACGTGCATTTTCTCCAGACACAGCTGCCCGTGCGTTCCTCTCGTTCAAATACTGTACGAAGGCGTAACCTTTGTGCACAGAGCAGCCCACTATCTTGCCGTACTTGCCAAAGAGGATCTCTATGTCCGTCTTCTTGACAATGGCTGTGTTGAGATTGCCAATAAAGACTCTGGAGTTTAGCGAGCGCAGGTCATTCTTGTTGGTCACGTTGCTGGTCTGGAGTTTACCAGTCATTCTCATCCACTTGCCCTCCTGGGACACAGAAAGAGGGGGGAGGGGAGGACACAGCTTTAGAGGTTTGGGGCACTCTAACTCCAGCTAAATCAAACTCTAATATTATGGAACCCCAGGTCAATATTATTTCAACAAATAAGAAATTATGAAATAAATAATCCTATAGTGAAACATATAAATTACCAACCTAACTGTTAATCAGTTAACAATCAAGTGTAATTTTGTCCTTTGAATCTTCATATCGCATGGCCCCAGCCTCCCTCATCAAACACCCGCCAGCTTACTAGCTAACTTACTCTTGGCTTAAGTAACCACAGCAAAGACTATCTGTTTTTGCACTTCAGAGTTGTGTGCCTTGAAAAAGCATCATTTAATAACAACACTGCCACATTTTTTTTTGTTATCTACTGCCATTAATACTGGATCTCTGTGGTGTCTCAATTGTACTTACTGGTAAGTTAGCTAGTTTCTGATGGGATGGCATGAAGTTGGGTAATGAACTTGAATGGTTAAAGAAAGAGCAGGTCATAGGGACGTCACTTTAATTTTGCGCAACACGTTTCCGGACCAGTTGAGAGGCCGGGGGCAAAATGTAAGTGAAATTATGACATAAAATATAATGTGAGATGAACAATCACTTGGAAAACAGACTGGGAAAGCTAATTTCAAAATGGAAATTAGTTAACTGAAGAAAAGTTAACTATGATGCCATAAAATAAGAACGATAATTCTTTGTATTATAATGCCCTACTGTAATACCCAATCATTTATTTCACAATTTCTTATTTATTTTATACTGAACACTTTAGGGCTCCATAAAAGACATTGTACTTAATCAATGTATTTCACAGTGATTGTTGGTTAATGTACACATTATGTTATGTATCAGTGGCAAGTCAACTGCTTACCTCGGCATCATTTTTTGCATTGTTGAAATACTACCACTGTCTGGCTGAGAATTAGGAACAACGGTATGTGAATTTCACAGCAGTTTTCTCTGCTTTGTGAGAAACCAAATACAGTAGCTGTCAGTGAGAAAGCTTCTATATCTCAATACCCATATTGTTGCGTCCCTAATGCCTTGTGTGCCGTTTCACTGATCACAGAATGCGGAGGCTGTAATTCATGTTACAGTTTTATTCAGACTTTTTTGTGCTGTCAAGTTATCAGCACATATTACCCTCAGCTTCTGTAGGCCTCCCTTGCAATAATTATTTTGTGACCTTTTCATGCCCTGAATGTGTCTATAAAACATGATTTGCAGGACAATTATGTCCCAAGGAAAGGATGCACTTGTTTTAATTCCATATGTAATCACAGTTAGAATAAAGTAGATATATGATTGTTTGCATTTCCCATTGATTTGAGCTTTTTATAGCTTAATAAAATCAGTTTTTCATTACAGTTTATATTTCAGCATGGTATACACGTTGTTTATTAAACACTGTGAAATATTGTGAATTAAAACACTGAATATTCAATATTTGCCTCCTCAGAGTCTCTCTCCCTGACACACAGTGATAACAACTATTAAGCTTTGAGACGAAGAACCTGAATAAATGGATCCAATCCTTAGTAAATAGAATTAGTAACCAAGGTAACACTGATGTTGGACACACACACTCACACGCACAAACACACTTTGTCACATGGCTGTCTTTCTTTTCCCATATGCAACTTAATTTTCCATTGCAAGAGGCGGTAGATCCTTACAGCTCAGTATCTTCACAATTACAGGATGTCTTTTTATTGTGAAATGCTGCACTATAATGGCTTTATTCAGCTTATTACAGCAGGGAATGCAATAATGTCCAAACTACAGTGAGATGATGCAATTCACAAAACAGAGTTAGGGGTGAATTCCATCACAAGGTCGCTCGCTCTGTACCTACGGTAGATGATGAGGAAACTGACCAGTCATCCAGGAAATAAAAGAGCAGCCATGTGATTTACAGAGAGATATTCTCTGTCAGGCATCCATTACACCTGAGACTGAGATCATGCTAGACACTCAGCTGCTCAGTCATGGATAAACACATATTATTTCACTTGGCAGCACATGTTTTTAGCATTACATCACGTACAGGGTGATGCTATTGGCTTGACTTTTCAACATGCACTACGGATATGTGGCAATGTTTATAGTGCTGCATTGGTGTGTGTTGATTCTGCGTGTGTGGAAATAAAATGCTGATCGCCTTCTCTCAAGTGGCCTTGACATTTATCAGCAGCAGACAACTGGAAATGAATGTGGCGCCGGCACACACACATACATGTGCTAACTCAAATGAGCTTCACGATGGCCACCTAACGGTAGTTTAAGCCCACCATCTGACACCCAACCCATATTGATGTCAGCGGACAGGTCACAGCGAACATAACAAATCAGCAGAGAAGCGTTAAATTGCCTCTCTGGTCAGATAAATCAGGAGAAGGTTGCGGTCACAGAATCCTTTCACCACACCTTACTGTTATAATTCATGTTGCCTTGTCTGTTGTTTTCTTTAGAGCTGGAACCTAATTTATTCCATCACTGGTTTTTCCGGCTGACCTTGCAATATACTTTATTTACAACCTCCATTAGGAAACATAAGGAAACAACACAAGTGATAGGCACCGGGAGTGTAATTGGAAGAGTAATTGTTCAGAAGACTTGACATTTCTTGTAAAAAATAAAAGAGCACAAAGAAGAGCTTTATCCTAGAAATAAACTCTACAAATGGCTTTTAGAGGAAAAAATGATGACCTGGTGTTCACCCGCTCTTTAAAAAATTATTACAGCTTCTACAGTGCTGCCTTTTTGTCAGTAAAGAGCAGAAGACAGAAGTCTTCATTGTTGCTTTCATGCCAGCATGGTCGTGTCAGAATAGGTGTCACATTTTTCAAAAGGTGGATGTTTCCTCTTGGAATGAAGCACTTTGTTCTTGTAGCATTACAGAAACGCGTACGTTTGGATTGACAATTTGATCAACCAATCATATATTGATTTGTAGCTAATGGGCGTATTCTTTCAGAGTTTCGCACGGTTCCAGGGTAGCTGCTCTAGAAGGCCCATTAGTTCACTGGCTCGAGACAGAGGATCCAGCGTAAGTGCGACGTAGCTATTCATTTGAAGTGTTATTGGTTTTTTACGTCGAAATGGCAACAGGTGAAGATGATGTTGTTGCCGAATTGTTGTTGGTACCCTTTTCAAGACGATCATTCAGTGAAAAGATGTGTATTATAAAAAAAACGCAAATTGACTGCCTCCCTGATGTCCGTCTGACTAGAACACTCAAATCCGGGGGGGGGGGGGTTTCTACAGAAGGTCCAGTTGTGCCACTGGTATAATAAAGCATTGCAATCTCATGCCAATTAAACAAATGATGGATTAGATCAGTGGAAAATGCACTTAGGTCATGTGGTTAACAGCACTGCAGTGTTTAGTATAGAATATAGTATGGAAGTAGATATATGACGGTGTGTACCTTGCTTTGTAATGCATTGTGTATTGGTGGACAGGCTCGTAAAGGTTGTTGTTTGGGTCTGGCCACCTGCCTGATTTATAGACATCTTTTCATAGAGGGAGGTAACTCATTGAATTGATTCCTTTTGTAATTTCCTTCCACTCCACCACTGTACATTTCTCTTCGCCATGCCTCAGCCACTCTGCTCTGATTGCCAAAGCATCTTGACGGGCTGAGGAAAGGCTGGAGAAGCTGCTCACTGAGACAGAACAGACAAAGGTAGCCTGATACACCTTTTCCATTGGTGTAGCTGCCATGTACTGCAGAGGTGGAATAATTGCCTTGTGGATTCCTTCCATTTATATCTTGTCTTAAAATGTGTCTCTCTGCCGGTGAAAGCAAGGGCAACAACCAAGAAATAAATTCACTCTATTTGTAAATCAATGATGCTATTTGTTCTGTAGGCTATAGGCTGCAGAGCATTTATGTGGTGCAACCAGCCACAGTGCACTTTTGTGTAGCGCATTCAGAGGGTGAAGCTATTGTGCCTGACAATGACAAACGAAAGTCTCAGTATTTTTGTCTGATTTGATGGGGGAAGAAACATAGTATATTATAAAAAGGATAGTGGCCTTAAGCAATTAAATGCTGGTTAAATGCCAACCGGCTCCTTTTAAGTGTATTTAGTCTTAAACATAGAAAGAAAAAACGCTTAATATGCCAATTTCGCTACATTGGTACAATGAGTTGGGCTGTGATTCTATTCAGTAAGTACACGGCTTCAACAAATAGGGCAAATAAAAAGCAAAAAAAAAAACTTTACCTGCCAAAGGGCCTTGAAGCGCTGTAAAAGCATAAATTAATTACAGTGAGTAAGACACAATATCACTTTTATGACTCAACCCTCTACCATTCGACCCTAGCTGCTTGAGTTTGAAACGTCTTCGTAAATCATCTGTCATGCCATGTTTTGAAGAAACAACACAGGGAGAAAGCGGATTTCAGCTTTCCTCATACTATTGATTGTTTTACTGTTCACTTGTATATATTTTTGTTTTTTGTACTGTTTTCACAGATTTATGTAACTCTGACGAAAACCTTTCTCTTTGAAAAAAGTTGAATTATTAATAATTAAGGGGTAGCTTGCCTGGCAGGCAGTTTTTCCACCATAAAAGCTCAGATCAACCCACTGTATGCTACCTTCTGAGCAACAAATTCCAAAGTTAGCAAGTAAGTCACTAACACATCGGAGCCTTTAGCAAGAGAGGCTACATACATATTATATAAAATATACTATGATATTTGTGAATTTGTAAATGGAAATGAACTGCTGCTGGCCACGCCCCTTTGGAGCGTTCGCACGCAGGCGGTGAGCTCTGTGATTAAACACCCCATTGTGTTCCAAACCACATCAAGCAATATTTCTGAAACAGTATGGAGCTCAAACGTTTGTCAAGCCGATTGTATATGGGGACGATAGGTTGGGATGTGGGCGTGACGTTGCCAGGAGTTCAATGTAAAGCCAGCCCACATTTCCGGTATGACGTCTAGTCCGCAGCAAATCTGGATCAG